ATGATTAGCTTTGCCTGTTTGTGAACTTCCTATGACAGAAGTCCAGGTCCGTTTGCTTTAACTTTGCGCCAGGCTTGCTCTGACAGTGTAGTGGGGTCATCTGTGCTGCAGTGCGCCCGGGTAGGATGTACATTGTCCTGGTCTGCAGCAGTCCGTTGTACTGCATGAATACTTTGGTTATCCAATCTCTTAACTGAGAAGGCCTGGCCTCATCTCCAGACCTGCTCATCACAGACCACACGCACATCGGGGAGCACAGCTTCAACAAAGCCACTCATTCGTGCCCACAGTTCCCCAGCCTTCCTGTCTCATGTTGAATCTCTGAGTGGCCCCGGTGACCACATATGATAGCGGAAGTGTCTGCACTACAGTTGAGTTGCACGTGTGACACCGGACTCAGTCCAGCGTGGGCACGAGGCCAGGCAGGCCATGTGATGTGGCAGAGGATGGCAGCGTGGGAGAGGGGCCTCGTGAGGCTCACAGGTGTCTGACAGGGATCTGGGACAGCTCTGGGCGGCTTCCACACCTTGGGGTGCCTTCAGCAGGGGCCTCCGGGACTGCTCCGTGTGATGGCCTAAGATGCTTGCAGTGCCGAGTGACTTGTCTGAGAAGACAGAGCAGAAAGTGCAGCCTGCAGGTGTGGGAGTGATGAGGGGTTAGGGGAGACTGGGTGCATGTGAGTGTGTGTGTGTGTGTGGCACCTACCTCTGGGCATGGCTGGGGGACATTCCAGGCAGGCTAAAGCCAAGTGAAGCCAGGAGTGATTGCTAAGATACTCAGAAAGACCCAGTCTTTGGGGGCACCTAAAAGAAAGAAGCTGGGACAGGCTAGTCCCTGGTCCTCCTCTCCCCTCCCACCTGCAGGAAAGGGGCCTGCCTGGATGGATATCTGGGTCCAGGCCACTCATGCTGTCCTGGGGCAGCAGCCCTGAGCAGGCATGATGCCAGCCAGCCTCCTCTTCTTAGGGCTGCAGTCCTACCCATGTCCCGTATCTCTGGTCCCCCAGGGAAGGCAGGATCTAACTGTGGCACCTTGCCAATCCTCTGGACACAGAGCTAGAGGCTTCCTGCAGGGTGGGACCACTGACCCAACCTCCTGTGGTTTCCCCTAGCACTTGATGGGGGGAGACCTGGGTGTGTCAGGGGCAGGGCTGTCACGAGCTCCTGGATTTGCGCCCACATGGTCTGTCACCCGAAGTGGGCCCACTGGAGACTGAAAGTGGAGTGCTACCAGTGATTGCACTGCTCAACAGACAGGGCTGGCCCAGACGAGCCGGGGGCGTGGTCGCCATGCATGCAGCAGAGGGTTCAGCTTGGCCAAGCAGTTGGGCACACGGGATGCTTTTCTTGGCCACTTACAGCTCCGTTTGCTACAGGAATCGCAGGGTCAGATATGTAATGTCAGAGGCTCCTGCTCGGAGATCCCTGTCTGCACTAGGGAGTACCCAGGAAGAGGGGTACACTGGACATGTGCACAGTCACCTGCAACCCTCCATGGCTCCCCAACATTTCTGAGCCCCAGGCTCTCTCAGTCACTGGCCCCAATGGCCTCTGACTCCTGTCAGTTGTGCTGTCCCAGCCGCCTCTCTGGTTTGATCCAATATGACCCGCTGTGCCAATGTCTGTCTGGGACTGGGGCCCGCTCCGAAGGCTCTCGGTATCCCCTGGATGACTGGGACCGCTCCCCCAGTGCTGCCTCTGCCATGGTTGGCGCCACTGCTCCATGGGCTCTGTGTGTGTATTGAGATAGACGTGGAGGTAAGGCAGCCAGCCCAGGTCTGTCAGCCACCACCCGCAGGGGTGGCCCTACTAGGTGCCCTCACTTCCAAGCATCTGGGCTTTTGGGTACACACTGCTCTTCCTCCATCTCCCGTGTCTAGTGTTGGTCACACCTACGTGGGGCCACTGGAGCTGGCATGTGGGAGGAGCCACTTGAGTGGCCGTTTCCTCTCCGGCACGCCCCAAGCTGCCTCTTGCTCCTTCTGGTTCTCCTGATGCAGGTGCTGTGCCCCGAGCCCCTCTCCTCTCTTTCTCCTGGGAGACTGAATCTCACACTCTTGCATTTGTCCTATACTTGACCTCCACGTACCCCGCTCCCCTCATCCCATGTGCACGGCACCTCCCTGCTGAGAATGGCCAGTGCCTTGCAGGCCAAGTCCCCTTTGCGGCTCAGGACATTCCTGCTTCTTCCAAGGTCCCTCCCTGCTGGGGGGGGGGGTCCCAGTGCCCCTGCCCTCCCACACAGCCTCCAGGCTGGTCCTGCTCACCTCCCAGGCATGTCCTTGCTTGACCCCAGTCTATTGGTCATTATTATCAAGTTCCATGTTGTTGTGTGACTCCAAGGTCCCTGGGCTGCTTGTGGAGTGCAGTGAGAGTGCCAGGGGTGCGGTAGGGGGTGGTGTCAGGGCTGGGCAGCACAGCAGACAACTGGATGGAGAACACAGGGACCATGGCACACCTATGGGTTAAGCAGCAAGGAATGAGAGTGTGCTGTGTATGCCAGCAGAGGGGCAGAGGCTGTAGAAACTTAGAAATGACTTTTTGGAAGAGAAGCACTTGGGATCCAGGCCTTCTGTAGTATTGACTGAGCCCGTGGAAATTTAGAGAAACAGCAACGTTCAGCAGGAGCCTGGATCCACGCACCGAGGAATTGTCTCACGTGCCCTCCTGCTAACGTGGCCAGCCTCTCTCCGGCTCACTGCCGGGATGTCGAGGGCAGGATAAGTTGCTTGGCATGATGCCACTAATACATCCTTTTAGAGAGACAGGAGACAATGCTGAGTGTTGTTATGGATGCACACACTTATGGCGAGAGCAAAAATCTGCACGGGAGGGTGAAGGGCTAGAGTCACCTCCGGGAGCCAGGGCAGAGAGGGGGTGGAAGCACCGAGTTGCTGCTGTATTTTGCTTCTCTGAAGGAAGGGAGAGGGGGAGGAAGGGGTGGGAGAAAACAACAGTAAAATGAGAGCATTCGTGGGTGAGCACAAGCACATGGATGCATATAAGGTATTCTGCAACTAAAACTGAAAAAGAAATTGGAAGTAGAAAAGGCAGCAAACAAGAGATACAGAGGCAAGCATTCTGCACACAGCTGGAACATTCCCTCCATGGAGCCAGGGGCCAGAGGCCAGGAAGTGAGGCAGGGCTAGGAGCAGAGGGCAGCAGAGCAGGGCACACAGCAGGAGTTGGTGGTGGTGGGCAATACTGCCATGGTGGGACTCCAAACAGGGATACCAGTTCCCTCCTGCCTGTTCCGTGCCTCCACCCCAGGGGTTGTCCCATGGGCTGCTCGGTGCCTGGCCCTGGCCTGGCCCTGCAGCACCAGCACCAGCAACAGCATTTGGCTGGACAATTTGCAAGCAGGTGATTTATTCGTTCTTTATTCTGTGCTGAGCAGCTACAAGCAAAGCGCCAGCTGCCATGACACTCGTAACTAACTCGTCACGTGCCACAGGTCCACGCACACCTCCCGCATCCACACGCTGCCCGCATCCCTACAGCAGACCCATAACTCTGCCATCACCACCACTCCTGCCTCACAGAGGAGCAACAGAAGTGCAGAGAGCAGGAGAGAAGCAGAGCTGCAAATGGGACCGTGGCTGCCTGGTGCCAGTCTGTGGTTTCCATCACAGCTTCTTACAGAACAGCACCAGGCTGGGTGCCGTGGGACCCTCACAGAGCTGCCAGGTCAATACGGCACTCACACACCAAACCCACAGCCCAGGCAGCTGGTGGCTGCAACTCACCATTTAGCACTCCCAGGGAGAAGCACAGCCTGATGGGTCCAGGCGGGTGTCTCCCGAGAGACAACGTCAATGCTGAGGACACAAAGGTCCCTGGAGGGGGTTGGGAGGGCAGGCAGGACAAACAGAACAGTGTGCAAAGGCCTGGAGACAGAGCTGGGCAGGGAACCTGGAGAGGGCCAGGGCAGGTACACGCAGAGGGGGAGGGCCAGGATGCAGAAGTGAGCTTGTCTGGCATTGCCCTGGGTCGTCCTGTGCTCTTTACTGCTGCGGGTCTGGATGCTAACACACTTGAGGGCTGCGGTCTCACAGGTCTGGGTTATACAGAGTGTTCCCTGGGCAGTGGAGAAGCAGGGAGAGGTTGCACGCATTTGATACCGTGGCTGCTGGGTTGGGGGTGGGAGGGCTACTGGGTAGCAGGAGCAAGGCTGTGGTGAGTTCCCCATCTCTGCCATGCAGCCCGGGAGCAGCCAGGCCTGGCACAAGGCAGGGAAGGCTGGCTAAGGACGCAGCCATCGGGTGAAGTGACTCAAGGCACATGCTTGTTGTCCTTCCCATCTGCATGCTGAGCCAGCCTGCAGCCCCCTGATCCAGGACTTGCCGGAGGGTCTGCTGGAGGTGGGAGCAGAGTTCCCCAAACAGCTGCCCCCTCCCAGGAGTTCAAAAGAACTAGGGATATTCCCTGGAAAAGCCAGACAACGCAGGTCATGGAAGAAATGGTGATGCAGGAAAGTGGCTTTCTGTGTGACCACTCGGCCTGCTTCTTTCCCCCTCACCCCACCTTGCCTCAATCCCTCCAAGACAGTTCACAGACTCCCCACCCCACCTCTGCAGAGGGGCTCAGCTTCAGAACCTAACAAGTGCTGGGAGAAAGCTGGGGCTCCTGGCACCTTCAAATGGACACACAGGCCCGGGCTGGAAGCCCACACACTCCTTTCCCTACCTCCAGACTGCTGACCACCCTCCAGGCCAGCTGTCTGTACCGATGCTTCGGACCCTCTTATACTGAGAGGTGACAGGAATGTAAAACCAACCCAGGGTTGAAACAGCAAGGAGGAAGTGCAGGGAGACACAGTGAGACCCCTCTTCCCTTTTCGGCCAGCACCAGGCTCTCCCTCATTCTTCCACAAAGTGAGAGCTCAGGGAAGGTGCCAAGCTGACCTGCCAAGACCAGGTGGCACAGTGAGGGGATGGGGAGGAGGGACACACCAGCCAGGCATGGCCACGAACTTGGGGAGGAAGCCGGGGGGTCACTTACCTAGCGGCAGAACGAAGAAGAAGGGGAACCAGCAGAGAACGAAGACGCCCACGACAATGGCCAGGGTCTTGGCCGCCTTCTTCTCGCGGGAGAACTTGAGCAGGCGCACCGACAGTGAGCTGCGGAACGTGTGCCCCTTGGTGCCGCGCGTGCCCCCCGGTGCCCCGTCCGTGCTGGCACCGGCACCGGCACCGGCACCGGCGGCCGCGCCCCGGCAGTGGATGCGCAGGACCACCTCGGAGGCCTTGCCGCGTTCGCGCTTGACGCCTGCTTCGAGGCTGCGCGTGGTGCTGCGCGCCACCACATACACGCGGCAGTACATGACCACGATGACGGCCATGGGCAGGTAGAAGGAGCACAGGGAAGAGAAGACGGCGTAGCCCGCTTCCTCGGTGATGCCGCAGAAGCGCTCGTCCGGGGGCACGGGCTCCTTCCAGCCCAGCAGCGGCCCCATGGACACCACCAGGGCCACGGCCCAGAGCAACGCCAGGATGGCGGCTGCCTTGCGCTCTGTCATGATGGCCGGGTACTTGAGCGAGTGGCGCACGCCCACGTAGCGGTCCACGGAGATGGTACAGAGGCTGAGGATGGAGGCGGTGCAGCATAGTACGTCCACAGCAGCCCACACGTCACAGAAGGCCCGGCCAAAGGCCCAGAAGCCCAGGACCTCCATGGTGGCCGAGAAGGGCAGCACGGCAGCGCTTAGCAGCAGGTCGGCCACGGCCAGGTTCACGATGAAGTAGTTGGTGACGGTTTGCAGGTGGCGGTTGCAAGCCACTGAGAGGATGACGAGCAGGTTGCCCGCCACGGCCGTGAGGATGAAAGCTGCCAGGAAGACCCCCACGCCCACACTCTGCGCACTCACCACTAGCCCCCCGACGGCCGCCGCCGTGCCGTTCACCTCGCCACCCCCACCGCCACCCGCGCCTCCCGGTTCTCCTGCTGAGCTCTGGTTCTCCTCGCCTCCGCCCGCGCCCACCACGCCGCCGCCGCTGGAGCCTCCGCCTGCTGCCCCCGGCACGCTGCCCACTGCTGGGCTCTCAGAGGAGGCCGTGCTGCCCGCGCCGGCCCCGCTGTTGCCCGCGCTCGAGCCCCCGGCGCTGATGTCCGGCCGGGGTCCTTCGAAAGTGACGCTCAAGAGGTGACGGAAAGTCATCTCAAGGCGCGCCCGTCGGGGGTCCTGTTGGGGTGCAGGACGAGCGGCTGGCAGGAAAGCGGGCACAGGGCATAGCAGCGGGACTGTGGGGCTGGTCCGGCTCGCGGGTCCCGTTCAGGTTCCCCCGAGTTCTTGCGACGCGGAGTGCGGTGGCACGGGGTGGGAGGCACCGGCGGCGGCGGCGGCGGCGGCGGCGGCGGCGGCGGCGGTAGTGGCTGGGGTACTCCGGGTCCCGCAGAGGAGTCCAACCCAGGAGCCGGGGCGGGCGACGCGCTCCGCTCTCTGAGCGCGCCCAGGCGAGCGGGCAGAGCGGCGGCTCCGCGACCCGGCGGTGCGGGCGGCGGCCACTGCGGCTGGAGACTGGCGCGGGGGGCGGGCCGGAGGAGGGGCAGCAGCGCCGGCGGGGAAGGGGGTGTGGCGCCCAGAGACCAGGCGCTTCGCTCCAGGGGAGAAGGGCTTTTGCGCACGGGGCCGGCAGGCGCTCCACGCACTAGCCGGGCTGCGGCGTTGGCGCGCGTTCCAACCGCACAGCTTGGCTTCGGTGCCGTAGCCCATGCCTGCCCTGTCCCCTCGCCCGCCCCTTAGCGCTGCCTTCCGGGACCTCGCTGGATCCGCCTTTCTCCAGGGACCTCAGCCGCACTCCTCTTCCCAGCCTGTCCTCTCCCCCAGGCTCCCAGGGCGAAGTCGCTGGTGTCCTTGGGCATGCGGAGCTTAGAAGGCGCGATTCCAGCATCCTCCGGCTCCTGGCGGCCGCCAGAGAGCAGCACACGCCTGAGTTGTGCACCCTGCCGACTGGACTGCGTCTGCCCGCCTCCTGGAACTGCCTGGCTGCACCTTCCTTCCTTCTCCCAGGCTGCTGGCGGGGGCAGACTCTCAGACATCTCTGCACCTTGCAGGGAGAGCTGGGGAGGGGTCACCAGCCTGGGCTGGGTGGGGAGCAGGGAAGCCTCCAGCGAGACTGTTAGGTCAGAGCCCTGAACCCTGCGAACCACTCGGTGGTCTCCCGCAGTCCGGTTGTGGGAATCAGTCTTCCGTGTCCAGCATAAGTGGTCTAAGTGGCCTCATTCCAGGGCCGGAGGGTGAGAGTACTGGAGAGTGGGAAGGGCTGTTTGGCAGCCTGGCTAAGGGCGAGGGAGGACTGAGAGACAGTCTGGCTCCAAAGTTGGGCTCTGCCCCATGTTGGCTGCTTGACCCCTTTCCCCCTAATTCTTCATGTGTCAAGCGAGAGTGAGAAGGAGCATGCGATGGCAGGAGGGTTAGAGGCGTTAGCATGTGTTGCCCCCCGCCCCGCAGCCGTTCCTGGGTTTGTTGTCCGAGCTGCGCTTGGCGGGGTAGGATTAGAACAGGGAGGCAGAGCACAGAGGGGGTAAGCAGCTGGTCTGGAGCCCAGCTGTGCAGGTGGAGGGGAGGGCATGAGGACCCTCTCCGGGACCAGAGGGACGGGCAGAGAGAGAGAGAGACAGGATCATCCACTGAAGGCAACACCAGGATGTTTTCCTAGGGCAGGCACCGTGCCGCCCTGATGGCAGCGTGAGGGGCACCTACGGGAAGGAGAATGCCATGAGTCACGCGGAGGATGTGGGGCCTGCGTGGGTGGGCGTGGGGGAGGAGACCCAGGACCTGCAGCCTCTGGGGCCTCCCAGCATCTATGACACAGAGGCAGGCCACCTAGAAGAGAGGTGCTTTAGAGGAAAAACAAAACAAAACAAAACAAAACAAAAGTGGGAAGAATAACTGCCTCCTAGTGCAGGGAGCCCCAGGAAGAAAGGGCTCTAATGGAGCTGGGAGTTTCCCCCACAAGCTCCCCTCTCTACCACTTGCATGTTTGGGCACTTACACCGTGAGGATTAGCAGGCAGCAAAATGCAAGCAAAGCCCTGGGGAAAGAGGGGGACGAGGAGTTCTTCACCTGGGAGGGCTGGTGGGAAGTGGACTCAGTGTCCACGCCTGGGGTGGGACAGGTGGGACCCTTGTGAAGTTCATCTGCTTGCAAATGTTATCTGTTTTCAAAGAAAACTGGGGCTTGGAGGCACAGGTAACACCCCAGGCATGCGGTGGTACACTAGGAACCACAAGGCCAGCATCCCATGAAGATCTGCGTGTGGTTGCTCGAGGGAGCCAAGGGGAAAGCTGACTGGAGGTGTCCCTGCTTGCAGAATGGGGAGTAGATGTGGTGTGGGGTGCCTGGAAAGAGATGGGGCAGCCTGAACCCGTGTTAGGCCTTGGCAGTCCTTGGGGAGAGGGGTTCGCAAGAGAACCTCGGAGAAGGGACATGGGAGGCCAGGGAGATGGCTTTCTGCCCCAGCTGCTCAGATGCTTGGAGCTGGGAAAGGGGTGCCAGCACACGCTGCTGGCAAGCAGAGAGAGGCAGGGCAGCACCGAGCAGCCAGCGTGGAACTCAGCACTGCCCTCCCCAATGTACCGTCCACTCTTAGATCCACCTCGGGTCCATCCCATCTCAGCTTAAGCTGCATGTAGCCGGTCTCTGAGTTATGTTGGTGGATTTCTGTCACTTCACAATTCCGACCCTTGTCTTCCTGGCAGCTACCATGCTGGACCAGATCATTCCTCACTCTGTTTGCTCCCGGCCTGTGACTCTCCCTTCATGGGACCATTGTACTTGATGGCTTCCCCAGGTTCACGGTACACTTAGTCCCATGGGGCTGAACTGTTTCTTCTTGTTTTGTGGCTCTGAGACAGGGCCACACGGTACCTTGGGATTTATTGGGGTTGCAAGTAAGCGAGTGTTGGAGGCTATCACATGTAAGAGGACTTTCATGTGAGACTTGATTTACAGAAATTCATACCCAGACCAGGCAGAGGGATGGTGTTCTCAGCTTGAATCTTCTCTAGCTGAATTCCAGGGTCTGGCAACCCAGTTTGCTGATACATGATGGTCTGGGGTCTGTCCGCTCCAGCCGCCCTAAGGACTTAGTGAAGGAAGCAGATTTCAAGGATGACCTAAGAGCCTTTTGTGTCAGGAGCCACCTTGCCGTTCTTACCGTTCCTCACCGTGACAGCCTGTGCGGGTGGGGCTGTCTTCCTCCGTAGCCATGTGATGGAGTTTTCTCAACTACTGTGTACGCTCTGCCAATGCCCTCAGCTGAAGAACACAGCTGGGTCGATTCCTTTGGCTAAAATACTTGGGAAGGATGGCAGAAGAGGTGTGGTCGGGGCCCGTGGTAGCCTCAATGGTGATAGGATGTGACCTCCTTCCCTCCCCAAACCGCCCACTCAACTGTGCCCCTTACAGGCAATCCCCTGGAAGGCAGAGTGACTTCCAAGTACAGAGCCTGTCCTCAGGGCACTGCAGAAGTCAGACAGTTTTGATGAGAACTCCTGTTATGAAAAATTCTTTTAAAATTTGTTTTAATAGGGCAAGAGGACAGGGAGAGAGAAAATAAGATATTCCACCTGCTCATTCACGTCACAGATACTCACAGCATCCGAGGCCGGGTCAGGCCAGTGCCAGGAGGCCAAAACTCAGAGTGGGAGGGATTCAAGTACTTGGGTCGTCAAGTACTGTTGCCTGGTGGATTAGAGCTGGGCTTGAACTCAGGCACCCCAAAGTAAAACATTTGGACATCTGAAACAGCATCTTAGCTGTTGTGCCAAAGGCCCAGCTCAGGGTCAATGCAAGGGACCTGAACATGGGTGTCAGGCTCTGCACTTTTCACTGAGTAATTTGACCAGATCTCTGGGCATGGCTGCCCCCTTTTATAAAATAGGGCCAATGTATTGGCCTGGATCATGGAGTTAAAATAAGCGAGGTGTTTCTTCAAGCGATGTCTTCAGGGGAACCCAGTCTAAACAAGAACATATTTGTGCAGAAGCTCTTGTTGTGTCAGAGGCAAAACCTGGAGTTGACCCTCTGGGTCTCCCTCGTGGGCTATTTCTGGACCCTGGAGTACCCTCACAGCAATGGGAGATCTGGGAGTCTTGTGAGTGAATAGCTGGACCAGTGAGCCCTGGAGACCAGCCCTGGGGCCTTTGTGAGGCAGAAGTGTGACTCCTGGTGTGAGCTGGAAGACTAGGCCTCTGGGTACCTCTTCCCTCTTAGGAGAGGCCCCTAGAGAGAGAGAGAGAGAAGATAAAGAAAAACTTGTTTCCTGACTGAGCAATTCATTTCTGGGTTGCTAAACTCAAGTCCCTGAAGAAGAGACTTGAAGGACCCCTGCAAGAGGCCAAGAAGGGATGAAGGAATTGATGCTTTGTGTGACAAGATGCCAAGGACGGGTCAGCACTGTTGGAATCAGGACATTGTCTCTGCTGGGAGACAATGTCGGGGAGAAGGTGTTTGTAGTACATGCACCTGTTGTGGAGACCAGTGGCTCCTCTCTCTTCATCCCTTCCCACCCTGGGAACATTTTGTCCACTCATTCATTCAGCACAGAGAAGCCGAGCATCATCTGTGTTCCGGAATGCACTGTTGAATAAAGCCAAGTGCCTTCCATCCCGGGGCTCCTGTTCAAATGACAGAAAGCACCACCAAGAAGGGTGAGAATCTTCCCGCTGCCAGGGTTGAACGTTTTTGCTGGCTTTAGTACCTGATTCTTAGTGCTTCTTTTCATTGAGAATCAAGGAAGGTGCGAATCATTTTTAAGGCACATTTTGAGGACCCCTTCCACCCCAAACAGCAGTGGGGAGCTGAGCCCCAAAGATACAAATTCATGTGTATTACTGGAGCACTTGGCTAAAGCCATCATTGCTGGAGCATGCCTTATGGAGACATGGATGCTCATCCTAAAGTTTGCCAACTTCACACCAATTGCTAGCCCTGCCTGACACTTAACCTTACCCTGGCTTGATCCCAGCTTTGGCTACACCCTTACCCATAACTGTAACTTGCCCCTAATCTATATGTAAATCTTCCTGATCTTCATCATTGTCATGGTCAGCAAGGGCAGTGGCTCTGAAGGTGAGGACCCAGTGCTACTCTGCCCCATCTTTCACTGGGTTTGGTGCCCAGGGCTGCCACCCATTAGTGGTCACAGATCAGCA